ACACTATCAAAGCAAGTCATGCATCCATACGACACTGTCTTGTATAGAATACCTCAAAGTTACTGGGTGACAAGTGTCGACATAGAGTTGGAGGGTTCAGCTTCTTGCTCTGCTACAGTCGTCTCAGTCAAATGCAGTGACATACAACAAGGCAGCAGCATCTCAATGGACGAAGTCTTCAAATCTGATTACATTTATCTCGAAGAGGGTTCCGTCATTAGCCTCCTAATGAACGATGTAGAGTCAATGGGTACTTTGTCTTGCTCTCCTTATTATGCTTACATTTTCAACGACCATCAATCTGCTAACGATAACGCTGACAATAATTTTGAAGATCTAGCCTGTGCTCATCCTCCAGACAATGCATGGTGCATAAGACTCATCAACGATAGTGGTGGGGCTCAATTTATCTCACCGTCATCAAGCTATTATTTCATTCGCTGTGACAGAGGACCAGAATGTGACATAGTCGACTCCATTCACCTCAATGTCAGTCAGTATAATATCATGCCTAGCAAAGAGTTTGAGATTGGCTCTGTGATGATTCGAACACATGATAGTGAGAAAAGGCTCAAATTAAGAGACGAGACTTTTAGTCCGTACTCTTTCATAGAAGAGGAAGTATGTCTTCTGATGCAGCTGTCAGACTCATCACAGTGCGAAGATGGGGAACCCCCTATTTATCATGTAGCATTTGTAGGGTCACCAGCAAGAAGATACGACATGATATTTCATCCATTTTTAATATTATTTCTGATACTAGTGGTATCTATAGTAACCCTCAGCATTTTCTATTGTTATACTAAATTTTGTAATAAGTAAACCCCCTTGTGTACTCATTTCATTTGGCTCATTAGATGAAGCATTACATATTTAAATCACTTCATTGGTTTCTAAACAGTCCATAATGGGTAGAGGTAATTTCTTTACAAACATAAAAATGCAGTGGGTGGTAGGAGTTGCCATAAATACTAGCTGCCAGCTGCCAACTGAAAGTGTGCACTCCTTCACATCATCACAAATGGCAAAGGCAGCAGTAGAGAAAGAGCCTGGCTGTACACTAGTAATTGTCAATCCAGCAACCCACTCCAACAGTAAGTACAACTTATTGTGACTATAATATGAATAGCTCACAGCTACAGGCCAGGATCCAGACTATGTGAATTCGACAGCAAACCCATTATATGATCTGGTAGACAAAGATGATTCAGTATTTCATGACTATGTTAATGTTGACATTTGCGTACAAAACTCCAATGAAGTAATCTATGATAACCTCATAAATCGTGCTGATGAGCATATCTATGAAAATACGGCCATAAATCAAGAAAATACAAATAATGAATCTGTTGATGGAGCAGGGGAAGATGAGAATGAACCAACAGTAGAGGTACATGTACATGTTGAGCAGCATGGAGATGAAAGTTCCACAGATTGTAAGTTATAATAATAATCATAAATTCATTTTTAACTTTATCTATTTTACTCAATCCTAATATAATATAGTGCCAGAACTTGAACCCACACATCTAGTGAATGTATTTTTGAATAGTGACATCACAGTTGGAACTCTGAACACTTTACGTGTTATGCTCCAAGTTTCAAGGGCTAGACTACCAAGTGATAATAGTCTAGCAATGCAGGCAATGGAAGTGATTAGTGCATGGGTAGATGAGCATCCAGAAATATCGCTGCAGGAAAAGCACAGAATACTAGCTGATCATTTGAGAAGTCTAGAGCTGAACTACTTGATACCAAAACTCCGTGGGGAGGAAAGATTCATTGGAGCTGGTATGAATGCATAAAAGAAATATTAACAAGCATGATCACACTTTCTATTCAATAGATCCCCAAGGAATTACAAATTATTTAAGAGATGTTACAAGGACTTTCTCCACAAGCCAGGCTCGTGAGTTTGGACGGTCCTTGAAGCTAAGCAAGAAGAAAATTGAAACAATATCTCGTAGCACAGGAGCAACAACAGGGATGGAACTGGTCCTGCAAATATTTGATCACGTCAACCGAAACAACACTCACCTTAATGGACCCTTAATGAGCGAGATAGAAGAATCCCCCCCTGCAGCTGCTAAGCTCAACACCAACCCAACAAGGGGAACATTGAGGAAATACCATAATAGGCTAGGTACATCACAATACTAGCAGTATTGCATTACATAATGAACCTATTTGCATATACATTAATTATAGGCTGCTG